AAGTTAAAACTGTGCAGAACCTAATTTAGATTTCAAACATACCTGGAAACATTAAATTACAGGAGAAAAAGGGTAGAACTTTGGAGGTTAAAATAAATAAAACTTTTTTTCTTTCTAAGGGCAAAAAAGTTTTAGAATAGTGACAATTTTCCCTTGATTTCATTAAAATAAAATAAAATAAACCAATGACCATCTTTACAGAGAAAAGTAAAAGAATCTGCCTGTAAAAGAATATAATTAAATATAGCAGTTTTGCCTATTAGATTCAGAGTAAAATATTTTCTTTCCATCTTCCCTTTTCTTGACAAGCAATAAATAACTTGACTTTATTAAATCAGTGGTAATAGGAGTGTAATGATGACTGGATTATAAAGATAATTATGGGAGAAATAAGATCAAGGAAAGTGGTAAGGGTCACATTAGAAGTGATTATCCCATACTTTAATTCTTTCTTGGAGATTTGGATATCCTTATTCCTGTGTGAAAAGAAATATTTCTGACTTCTGTTAATCACTTCAATGGTGAGATGGGTGGCATATAAATTTAATAAATAAATATATCTCCTACCATTATGCCAATTTTTAGGAACATATATAGATATGATCAACAGACAGAAAGTTCAGCTATAAAAACTTGGACAATTGCACAAGACTACTTTCCTGCCTTCTCTTTTTTCCTTTAAGTAATTGTAAAATGCTTCTTCTGTTTGACCAGTGTGCTTCTAATGAGTCCATCTGGTACTATGTTATCTTTATTTATAAAAAAGTTCAAAAAAAATTCAACTGCTTGAAATATAACCAGATAAATTAACATAACTGGTTTGGGAGATATCTTATTACTGTGAACCATATTCCAGCATAGTTTAAGATTGTAATAATACATTTTATGGATGAATTGCACTTAATTCTGTTTAGTCGTAGAGCATCTTTTAGCCTGAGTTTTTTTTTTCTAAAATAGATATCATATTGCATATGATATGATACATAAATCCAGCAAAATGTAGTATTTCTTGAATATTAATTGAAAGAGCCCTGTAATTTACATGTGTTTTGAAAATATGCTGTAGTTATACACAACTGGAGAGAATTTTTCAAATACATTTTTCAATGCAAATAAAAATGTGTAAATAATTGTATCTTAGCAATTTGCTAAGATACTTTTTTCTTTATTAAACAAAATGAAAAACTGACAGTGTTCACCAAACAGACTTTCCTTGCCAAACTGCATGTGATTAGGATAAATTATCTTCACTATAAAATGACTATACTGTTAAAGTGTTGTCGTTGTAAAGTACAGCTTGAGCTGTTTCCTTAGAGGAAGCTGACTTACACAAACACCCCCTTTTCCATTCCACTTTTCTTTTTAAACACTGTACAGAGACTATGAGACAAGACAGCTTCTTCTTGTAGGGTCATAATCTATTTGACACAATAAATATGGAGAAAAAAATGCAACCACATGCTAGTACTAGATGTTATATGTAATAGTAGTTTTAACTATTCAGTTGTGTCCATCTCTTGGCGATTTTATAGGCAAGTGCTCTCCAAGGCTACCTTGTCGAGCACAGCTTCTTTCAGTTGTTGGATGTTCATCTTCGTATCAGCTTTGATGGTATGAAGCCACTGAGTTCTTTGTCCGCCCCTTCTTCTTGATGCACTAACCATTCCTAGCACCATAGATTTATTCCATGAATATGACATGGCCGAAGTAAATCAGACATAGATTTGGGCTTCTAATGATGTTTCTGGTTTTGTACAGTTCAACATCTTTGGCTGTCTGTGGTAGACGCAATAATTTATGCCAGCACCACAGTTCAAAGGCATCAGCTCTTCTTTGATCAGCCCTTCTTAGTGTCCAACTCTCACACCCATACATCGTATGTTACATATACATTGTGTCATTTACGCTCAAAGAATACTCCAGTGCTCTTGAACACTACTTGAAAGCACAAAGGTCTAAAGAGTGATCCCAGATTCTCACACAACTAAATAGTTCTAGAATCATCCTACACATCCTTGTACTGAGAAGGAAAAAGGGAGCCATTGAGAAAGGAAATGTAGAAAGCAGTAATAATGGATTTTCCCCCTTCCCAAGCATAGCACTCTTGGAATACAAGTAAAGTTTATGCCCAGATAGGACTGTGATTGCAGCCATTTCCCCTGATCTCTATAGGAAAGCCTCTGTAAGTTTCCTAATCTTTGTCCTCCGGGAACATGTGGGTCTTGCCAAAAGCTCTCTTTGCACTCAAAATGCAGAAGTGACCATTGCAATTGTACTTGGTCCTGTTCTATCTTCACATGTCAGTAGAGTTGCTTAGCTTAGTTATCATTCCATTATAGTCTTTGGGGGGGAGGGTTCTGTAAACAAATATAAAACAGACCTGGCAGTGGTTAAATTATGTATGCAGTCTGGGGTTTGTCAGTTTTTATGCCAGTGGGAGAAATTTAGGTTTGGCTCTTATAAGACCGGTATGAAAATTACTGATGATACGTATCCAGCAATGAGATATGACTTACTTAGTGTGTCTCTTCTGGCCATAATCACATTTTAATGTGGTGTCTGCATTGCAACAAATCCCCCACCACCACACACACACTTCAAGTAGTCATCTTCTTTCTGCCTTGAGTGGAAAGATTTTAGGGATCTGCTCTAGGTTTCTGTTCAATCGGTTCACCTGTTTTTGCTTAAAGCTCGGCACATCTGCTTTATGTTACTGTTGGCTATTTTAAGATCCACTGCATGGTTAGTCAGAAATATTGGAAAAACAACAACAACAATAAGAATACTTCATTAACAATCCGTTGGCCCAGTTGCTTGTCTGCTTTTGAACTCTGTGTGAATAGCACATTTGTGGCCATGTGGCTTGCTGACTGTAATGAGACTGTTCTGTAAGCAATTGCTTGCTCATCTAGCTAGCCTGAAGTGCAGCTTAAAAGTATCTGCAGTGATCATTCAGATGCACCACAGCCTTTATATAGGCCTTAGAGTAGCCTCATTGAGTTGTCTCTTAACATGGGGCCTGACAAGCCCCTGTGAGAGAAGGATGTGGCACTTGAGCCAGATGTTTCCTTATAACTTTCTGGGCAAAGGCAGCTGCATATGCATTTCTTGGATTTAACACCATCTCCTTTGAGCATTTTAAATCATGTCTCAAGCGATTTGTACCATCTAAAAGGTGCCAAACTCTTGTATTTGCACATTGAAAACTTGGTGAGGCTTCAGGTGCAGCTCCCCTGGCCAGGAACAGTGCAAATTTCTTTGTGTTTCTTGCTTCACAGTTCTGAAATCTGAGTTGCAGGAAACTTGTCTTGGGAAGGAAAAAGCTAATTCGTTCTCCATGGCCTCTTCAGTTTTTGGCTTCTCTGCTTAAGTCAGTGCCAGTTGGAAGGATGAGTCTTATCTCTTTCCATATACAAAGAGGAACTATTGTCCAATAAATATGACTTCTGTGTGTTTATTTGAAAATGATGGGCCATTAGAAAAGATTCCCTGAAATGCTGATGTTTAATGCACAATTACATAATTAGAATCCAATGCTTAGATACCCTCAGTAATACAGATGGGTATATTCTATAATGATTCTTCTCTGAATTTAGTAAGCTGTCAGGATTTAATCTGCCAAATAAACAAAGCCCTTATTTTGTTTTTGAACACCTGGAGGGAAGAGAGCTAAAGTTAAAAATTAAAATTAAAGTAAAGGCCTAATTTTCATTGGTCAGTTCTTCATTATACAGTCAGCCTCTAAGTTTACAACTGATCATTAGACCATTCAGAGTTATGACAGAGTTATGGCAGAGAGAGAACTACTTACAAATTGATTTTGAAGTTATGATGGTTGTATATGCAAGACATATTTACATGCACACATGCACACAATCATGTGACTGCATTTTGGGTTGCATTTTGGGCTATTGGTAACCTTCATGGTCATTTGCAACATCCTGTGGTCATGTGACCACAATTTGACTTTTTTGGTAGTTTACTTCTGGTTTCTGGCAAAAAAAAAAATTCCCACTAGAAACGCAAAAGGCGCTTGCTCAACAACTACCACAAAAAGCATTGAAAAATGGGATCTGGTTAAATGATGCCTTACCTACAACCATAATTCTGAGCTCGCTTACAGTCGTTGGGGACTACATATAATGTCTCTTTATTTTGTACTGTAATATATTTGGTTTTGATTTGTTAAATCACATATAGTGAGTTACAATATCATTTGGAGATGTGAATTAATGTTTATGCTGTGAATTTATTTTACAGTGCAATAAATATGAATTAACAATAAAAAACATGTTCACAATCCTAAAATATAACAAATATCAAAATATTTATGTCAAATACTGTAAAATATAATATAAAGTTTATACTTGACAATTATTGATCACAATTTCCTCCCTTACTTCTTTCTATAGTATGTTAGAAGTCAATCTTTGGATTTTTCCATAATTGTGAATTATGTTTTTCTTCCCTGGTCAATTGCAAAAGTGTAAAAGTTTTTTGAAGAGAATCCCAAAGGCTTTTCTACATGACAAGTCATTAAAGGAAAGTTACTTTGGTGTACATGTTTTGTTCAAAGCACATAACATATTCTGAGTTACCACTCATGGGTTGCCCTGAATGTATAATCAATCATTTTGCTTTAGCAATTTTCTTTGTGATCTTTCATTTGTTCATATCTTTATGGATATAAAGGAAGGTCTTGCAATAGATCCTCACTGAAGATCTATGGAAATTCTCTATCATCTAGATCATAGTTGCCCCAAAGGTGCTTTTCCAAAAAACAGCTGGGCTTTTTTGGTTTTTTTCCTTGGAACTGTTTCACTTCTCATCCAAGAAGCTCCTTCCATTCAGAACTGAACCAAAGTGAAATATTTTCAAGAAAAAAACAAAGTCTACTTGCCTTTTGGAAAAGCACTTTTGGGACATCCTTGCTGAAATTTCATATTTACCTAAATGAATTGTGTGAGCAAATTAATTAGAGTGTTATATTATTATTACAGGTTGAAGCTATCTAATGAAGAAATTCGGCAGGCAATTTTGAAAATGGACGAAGAAGAAGATCTGGCGAAAGACATGTTAGAGCAGGTGAAAAAACTTAATTACTTAAACATTGACCTCAGTGGTCAAAGGAGAGTGTGTTCCTCTTCTCAATAGCAATTTGTATAAACCTGCCAGCATGATGATCGGATTACTTTCAGATTTTTTACCCCTCCAAAGTTCCTCATTGTTATTGGGTTGATGAGTATAATAATGGTGTCAGTACATAGTTCCTAATGTTCTTGTACCTTAGGTGAAGAGTTGTTGGTTCTGAACATGAAAAATAGCAGGGAGAAAGAGATTTTTAAAATCTGGGAGAAAGAAGGAAGGCAGGAGGAATAGTATAGTGTGTAGACGCCTGAGAGAGACTATTGGTATTTTACAAAAACAGCAAAGTCATTACAGAAGCCTGTGTTCATTTTAAAATACATTTTTGTAACTTTTGCAACAATAGTTATTCTTATTCCCTTTCCATTCTTCAGATGTCTGGGGGTGAGTGGATGCATTCATAAGTATTTTATCTCTCCTGTTAATTTGCTGTTGTAATCTTGACCACTTGAAATTCTACGCTGTCTTAAATGTATCCCAATTTACTGCTCTAATCTCTAGAGTCCTACTTGAATGCCTTAGGAATTACAACAACAATAAGAGAATAGGTATAAACTTTTTAAAATCAATAAGTATTCCAAAAGAAAGTGACTTAAAGCATTGCTCATTTGTTGCATGGAGTACATTCATGAGGCAGGCTTATTTGTACTAGGAATGAACTGGGCTTTGAATTTGAAGGGGGGAAAAGTGCTTCAGAGCACGCCAAGGCATGAACGATGCACCTGTCAGCAGCTCCTTAAACTTGTCTTTTCCCAGGATCACGTGCAAGCATTGGAAGGCAGTTGTGTAATCCTGGGGGAAAGAACAGCTGAGCTGTTAGTTGTTAACAGGTGTTACATATCCCCATTCTCTGAAGCATCTTTTAGAAATCTATAACAGTGCACAGCCTCGCCTCTGTGTACGTACACACACGTACACGTAGCTCTTTTGGGGTAAAGTGTGACATAGTAAAAATGATCTACAATGACCTTTAGCAAATCATTAGGTATCGTAGAGACATTCTTGGATTCAGTGGTGGCTAATGCATATGCTGTGTTTAACTTTACCTGTTATACTTTCTGAAGAGAAACTTGGCTATTTCCCAATAATACGGGTCTTTTAAAATTTCTGTTCTCAAGATTGAAGGGTAGAGATGGCTAGTTACAAATAGTCCTTAACTTACAACAGTTCTGTTCAAAGTTACAACAGCACTGAAAAAAATGACTTATGACTGTTTTTCAAAGTTACCACCTTTGCAGCATCCTGTCCTCATGTGATCAAAATTCAGATGCTTAGCATCTGGCTCGTATTTATGACAGTTGTAGTGTCCCAGGGTCATATGACATCATTTGCGACCTTCTGACAAATCAAGGACTACCTGTATAATTAACTTTTATTTTATCTGTACACATTTTTTTTCACTTTTGGGTGGCAGCTAGGATTTATTCTATTGCCAATAGCTCATCTGTGGCCCAGTAACTGTTAAACTACTCATTGGAATAATTAATGAATTGGTAAACAAGCATATAAACCAGGCTGAACTTCCAGCATATTTTGGAAGTGGCAATTGGATGTGTGAAGCCAAGCCTTAACCCCACCAGATAGATTTTAAAAATATCTGTTGCTGAATGAGCTGTCTTTTGAGTTCAAACTTTGAATGAGCACCCTATAAATCTAGTGATATCGACATTGTTAATTATCTTTCTGAAGCAGCCATTTTAGAAATGTGCTGGAGGGGATGGAGGGGAGAATAGATAGAACTTTGTATTGGAGGAAGAATGGGACGAACACTTTTAGTGCTTTATTTGCAGTGCTACATTCTGAATGGCCTTATGTGTCAAAGAAGTGCTTTATTAAATATCAACAAGATATGCAGCATATAGTAGCTGGAAGTGAAAAATCCTACATGGAATTACGAACCATGTAACAAAGTCACAGTAGGAAGACAAAGAATCAAGCAAAGGTTTCAGGAAAATCACTTTAACTACTACAGATGCATTGCTTCAAAAATACTATTATAGCAGGATGTAGGGCAGCATTTTCAGTACCAATCTATTAGTTCATTTTCATGCTGTCAACCTCCCCCCACCCCGCCCCGGTCTGGTTGGTTGTTTCGTGTTGTCTGTATTGTTGTTGTTTTTTAAAAAAATCACTTCTGATGTTCCAGCTACTGAAGTTTGTTCCAGAGAAGAGTGATATTGACCTGTTGGAAGAACATAAGCATGAAATTGATCGCATGGCACGAGCAGATCGTTTCCTCTATGAAATGAGCAGGTACATATACGTACATACATAGGTCTGTTTGCATTTGATGGAGAGAGAGAGAGAGAGAAAAGGAGGGAATATTGTAATATAAATTTACACTCTCTATAAAAAAATATGGGGCTGACCTGATGGCTGAGTGGTTAAGACACTGGGTAAGTAAGCTGGAAAACCTGAGTGCCATGCGACAAAGTGAACTCCTGTTTCCACCCCAGCTCCTATCCACCTAGCAGTTCAAAGCATGCAAATGCAAGTAGATGAATAGGTACCACTTAGGTGGGAAGGTAACAGCACTCTGTGACATCATGCTGGTCACATGACTGTGGAAATGTCTTTGGACAGCGGTGGCTCAGTGGCCTTGAAATGAAGATGAGCACCACCCCATATAGTCAGCAATGACTAGCAGAGTAAAATCCACAGGGACTCCTTTACCTTTTTATAGAAGAATGCAGCTCTCATAGTTCCTAGACATTATGACCTTGCTAGCTCAAAATTATAGAAGTTAAATCTAATAAGATGAGAAAATCACAATGGGTGTGGGGACAGCTGATACAATACAATATTTCAAATAGTATCATTAAGGTTTAGAAATTCTTATTGTTTACATAGTTGTGTTTGTCAATGAAATTCAATCACCTGCTTTTCCTATGTAAATTATATAAAATATTATCATACATTTGAGTCAAGGTTCTATCTTTGTGTGAATTGCTATGTTGTGCAGTGGAATTGGAAGCTTGAGGCTCAAGTTAGTGATGCCTAAGAGTGACCGTTGTGTAAAATACTGGGAATGTACTTGGAAAACATACTTTCATTGAATAGGAACTTCTTCCTACTCTTTTTCCTCTGTGCTTGGGGTCGCAATATCTTCTTCTACAGGGGAATAAAAATGCATGATTGTTATGAGATTCAGGATTGATCCTTGTCTGTGGGCAGAGCAGCAGATAGCATTTTTCATATTCAGGCATTTCTGTTCTAGTAATAAGATGGACTTTGAATAAAAACCAATTGGTCTTACAGGTATTCTGTTTTGCTGAAAGACTTATTGAAGTGCATCTCAGATCTCTTGCTGCTTTCTTTCTAGGATTGACCACTACCAGCAAAGACTTCAAGCATTATTTTTTAAGAAGAAGTTTCCAGAGAGGCTTGCTGAAGCTAAGCCAAAAGTGGAAGGTAAGTTATATTCTTTACAAACAGTAAACTATTTCAGGTGTCAGAGGTGTCATCCTGCCCAAGGAACGCTGTGCACTGAAGCATTCTGTGCAAGCTTAAGCAGAAGAAAATTGATGCCACTGTAGTTTGTGTTATGAATTAAACAGCCTGAGACATCTAGCTCTTTGACAGGATTCCTGTTTCTTGGTGGGTTGGATGAAGCTTATCAGTCCTTGGGGTGCATCAAAGATTACTGCAGAAGAAAATTTGTCACAATCCTTCCTTCCTTGACAGTCTTATCTCCTAAGAGCAGTGAGAGGGTTGAGGATGGAGCAGGCAGGGACTGCAGGTTACCCACTTTTGCTGTATGCCTTCTGATATGTAATGCAAAATCTCTGGAATGATTTTTTTACTGTGTCTCCCAAAAACCTTTCTGCAGAATTAGAACCACCCAAACAAACACACTCAGTGGTCTTTTTCCATGCTCAATATTGCACTTCCTGTGTTGAAAAGTGAGAGAGGAGCTTTTGGCTTTAGAAAGATGTCATAGGTATTGTTTGGGAGATCCCTCCCCTACATTCTCTCTTTCAACTATCATCAGTCTTGTACGTCAATCTAAGGGTCCTTCTTGTCTTTCAGCTATTCTCCTGGCCTCCAGAGAGCTCATCCGCAGCAAGCGCCTGAAGCAGCTCTTGGAAGTTGTGTTGGCCTTTGGCAATTACATGAACAAGGGACAAAGAGGAAATGCATATGGCTTTAAGGTTTCCAGCCTGAATAAGATTGCGGACACCAAATCTAGCATAGATAAGTAGGTTCACTTACTAATGATAAATCTTCAATACTGTACTTCAGTAAAAAACAAAAAAAAGTTTCAAGGGAGTTTTCATAATACAGTTAAAATACAGCTTAGTTTTGTACATCATATCTGAGCATGCACATCTGAAATTTTTTTTACATTAAAAGTGGTTACAGTGCATATAATTAATTTTGGTGCAAGCTTGAAACAGAGAAAACAGCTTTGTACCAAAAGGAGATTTCTGCTAGTCTTGAAAATAACAACAGTTACTGTAAATAGAACTAAAAGACAGCAATGTTTTTAAAACTGAAAAAAAAACAAGTCTCTGCGAGACTAAGATTATTTAATGGTATGTGTGCAATTTCGAGCTGAAATTTTTGAACACGCTCATGGGAATTTTTTAAAAAATCCCAACCATCTTCAGGGGATGGTAAAATATTTCCAATCTAAGAGGCAGAGTGCTTCTTTTTGTATAAATTGCCAACTCTTTTGAAATTGTCTGTGCTGCTACAAGAAACCAATGATGGTTCATGGTCTCTGTAGCTGTTTTACTCCACAGTGCTTCTATCCAATGATACTTGGTGATTAGAAAGGAATGTTTTGTTTTTCATTTTGAGAACATCCATAAATATCACTAGGAGTGAACTTGTTGGGGGGTTTTTACAGCATAAAAAGGTTATATTAAAAGAAGAAAGGAAGTCAGCTTCTCTAGAAGGCTATTAGGAATATTAATTTTTCTGAGCCAAATTGTCAGCACCTCTTTCCTGGTCTTCCAAATTGTTCCACTTTCACAACCAGGGAACAGGATTCAGAAGATAAGAATTTCCATCCCCAGATTAAAAATCAGTGACCTGAGCAAATGCAAGACTCTTCATTTTGGGAATTACATGCACAAACAAAACAATATAGCTATTGAATAGTCTTCTTGGAGGCTTGGGGTGTTTTGCTAGGAGACCTTTGTACTTTGTACAGTGTTGCTTCTGTTGTTGAGTCATTTGCAAATAATCATTTGAGCCTTCAGGGCAGAGGTGGGAACATCTCGTCCACCAGATGTTGCAATGCAGCTCCCAGAATGTCAAGGGCGCTGGCAGTCATCATACACATCACATTTGAAAACAAAGAATTCCTCACTCTTACTTTAGCACAAAAGATGTGAAACCTTAAATGAATAAAAGCATTTATGCGGCTGCCTGGTCAGATAAAGTGACCCGAGGGGGGTAGTGTCCAAAAAGGGAAGAGAAATCAAACCAAGAAAGAAACAATACTTACCATTAAACCTTATCAAAACAATAAAATGGCAATTAGAGTTAAAATATACTGTAGCTCCTCAGATTGAGGTCTCTACTCAGCATGACTCAAAGGCCTGGGGAAGTAGCTATTACATCAATTCTATTTTGAAAATGTGAATGTTAGACTTCATTTTAAGCTTTTCAGATATAGCATGGTACCCTGATTTTGTTTCCTGTCTCTTTCATACTTATTTCTCTTAGGAATATTACCTTATTGCATTACTTGATAATGATCTTTGAAAAGAATTACCTAGATGTGCTTGAAGTACAGTCTGAACTGCAACATCTTCCAGAAGCAGCAAAAGTCAAGTAAGTATGATTTCTGGCCATTTGGCTAAGATCAGGTGTATTATCTGTTCTTAACAGCTTAACAGCTGCTATGTTGTCAATGCACACTGCCCAGAATTATTCTGGTGGACCCTAAATTTGACCAGCTATCTCACTCACAGGTGGTGTATAATGAGAACATATCAGATATGAAACTGATACTTTATAAATAAATAAAAGTGGTGCTGCTCCTAAAGTAACAATGGGTGGTTATTTTGAGATGTCTTTATGGCCTGTAGATCAGCATTCTGTGTAAACGTACAGAAGCAGATATCATAGTTATCAGTCAAAAATATAATGGAAATCATTCTCAGATTAAAGCACTTGAGTATATATCTGATCACAAGAGTCTTCAACTTTTAATCAGTGAATACCTCTATAATTCACTCAGTTAATACTGAATAATATTCTTGAGTATTACTGAGAATAAATATTCTATTTCAGAATATATTGTTCTAAGCAGGAAATGATCTAACAAAAGTGCTCGGGATGAGATGGGCTATAGTAATTTGATTGGCAATACATTAATTCATAGGTAGATTAACATTGAATAATTAAATATGTAATAAGTGTTAATATTCTTAGTAGCCCATGAGTTGCAAATAAAGAAAGCATATTTTATTTGATTTTTTTAATGTGAGAATATCCAAGTGTCATGTGAATAATATCAAAATTGTATATGCATCTCAATATCTTTTAAATATATTATGTAGTCTTTAATGCTCAAAATGTTGCAGAATTATGAAACAAATAAGAGCCAAAGCCAGAGGTGTTATTCAGTAGGTTCTGACCAGCTCTGGAGAACCGGTAGCGGAAAATTTGAGTAGTTCGGAAAACGGGCAAATCCCACCTCTGACTGGAGATTTTACAGTATCCTTCCCCTGCCACGCCCACCAAGCCACACCCACAGAATCGGTAGTAAAAAAATTTGAATCCCACCACTGGCCAAAGCCTTATGGTAATATCAGAGCATTCCCACAATAACTTTAGTAACTTTTGATCTCTTGGATTCTGTAGAAAAACAGAAAACAAAATATATGACAATTGATAAATCTGAAAGTCAGGATTTTTTTAAATAAAATTAACAGCAGCAATCAGTTACATCAGTAAAGGATACCTTACATTTTGTAAGGTAAGGTTCCTGTTCCAGTAATCCTTTTTCACTTATTTGAAGATATTGTTTGATTCACAGTGTGGCGCTATACAATTGTATCTGAAATAAAATGTTAGAGATTTGAAAGTCAATAAATCCTAGTGCTTTCAGAAGGACTAAAGAACATTAAAAGAACTGTACTATTTGCTTATTGCCTTGCTTTGAAGCATGTTGATGTTTTGAATTGAGCTTATTTCATTCACTGTTCTAGTTTTAGATAATGCATCTGTTGGGTATCCGATATACAATGTTCATATTCAAAGCATTAATTTGATTTGATTTTATATGCTAATGTGTAACCCTTTCACTTCTAAAAAAAGATTTAACAACCAAAATGTACTAAGTTAACAAGCACAAAGAAGCAGCGTAACATAACCTAAAGTGTAATTAAATCAGGAAAAATATAAAAAGGTTTTCATCTACCTCAAAAATACGTTAAGATCCAGTAGGTGGATAAGTACGTTATAGATAAAAAAAATTTCTGCCACATTTCCTGTAACACACCTTAAAAGCCAGTGAACAGCAGAATAGGCATCTCTCTCTGTTCTAGTATCTGCTGGGGGGCTCGTGTTGGGGAGAAATTATGACACTGAAAGGATGGGTGGTTGTCTCTACTTCAGTTGTTCCTCTACCATCCTTATAACATTGCACTTTTGCTTTAAACCACTCTCTCTGTATCTCCTTGCAGCCTCGTGGAGCTGGAGAAAGAAGTTAATAATGTAAAGACTGGGTTGAAAGCTGTTGAAACTGTAAGTATGTCACAGTTTCTAAACACGCTACTTTAAAAATGTCCCACCAGGGGAACTGGAGTAGTGGGTGTTTTGGTGAGAGAAGAAGGAGCTTTTCTTCCTTGTCAAGCGAAGCCTGTTTCTCTGAGACCATTCCCTACCCCTGACGCCTATATCTCTTGCAAAAGCTGATGTGATGGTATTAACAGATGTGCAGGGAAATTTGTTTGATCTGGGGCTGTGAGCGGGGGAACGGCAATTTGATAAACAGTGCTAATCCAATGTTAAATTCTTTTTTCTTCTTTCAGAGACTTTTAGTCTCTGAGCAGGTGTTAGATGTGGTCTCTGTGGACAGATTTACACAGACAGGGTGTAGCCTAAGTATTAAGGCATTTATTACCTGCCAGAATGATGCCAAGTAGCGAGGGAGCAGGCAAAGCAAGTCTGAAAGGAGATAGCCTTCTTGCTGTACAGCCTTCCCCAACCCAGTGCTCTTCAGATGTATTGATCTTTTATCTCCCAGAATTACTGAGTTACTGGAATGACTGAAGTCCAACAAACCTAGAGGGGCCCCCAATGGAAGGAGGTTTACAGATTTACAGAGTTGAAAGGGACCTTGTAGGTCATCTAGTCCAACCCTAGTGCAAAACAGGAGACCCTACAGAATTTCTGACAATGGCAGTCCAATCTCTTCTTGAAAGCCTCCAGTGATGATGCTCCCACAACTTCCGAGGGCAAGCTGTTCCATTGGTTGATTGTTCTCACTGTCAGAAAATGTATTCTTATTTCTAGGTTGAATCTCTCCTTGATCAGTTTCCATCCATTATTCCTTGTCTGGCCTACAGGCGCTTTAGAAAATAGCTTGACCCCTTCCTCTCTGTGGCAGTCCCTCAGATATTGGAAGACTGCTATCATGTCTCCCCTGGTCCTTCTCTTCACTAGACTAGCCATGCCCAGTTCCTGCAACTGTTCTTTATATGTTTTAGTCTCCAGTCCTCTAATCATCCTGGCTGTTGTTCTCTGCACTTTTTCTAGAGTCTCAACATCTTTTTAATAGTGTGGTGATCAAAACTGGATGCAGTACTCTAGGTGTGGTCTTACTAAGGCTTTATAAGAATGGTATTAGTACTTCACTTGATCTCGATTGTATTCCTCTGTTAATGCAATTTAGGATTGCATTGGCTTTTTGGGCGGCTGCTGCACACTGCTGGCTCATATTTAACTGGTTGTGCACTAAGACTCCAATGTCCCTTTGTCATATAGTTATTATATAGCTTTAAACCTGTTATTACATTAAGAAGTAAACATAACTGCTTCCTACTCAAAGCCTTTAAGCATAATTCTTTTTCCCCCTTAGTAGACATTTTGCCCATTTAATGTCCTAACAGAACCTTGTATGAGATGTAGATGCATATATTGTAGGGAGCTGTCTAAGATCAGATATAGCTGGCGTTTGTTCAGATTGTAAGGCAGGACTCTTTTGTCTCCCTCTTTATAGGCAAATGCTATTTTATGAATGAGCCAGGGCATTTCACACCATTTATGGCTTTTCTCTAGTTCTTGCATACAGTTGTGCAGAAAAAAATTCCATTGTAATTTGTTTTTAAAATAAGGGTTTGGAACATTGCAACCTGGTCTTTTAAGGAGTAGCTCGGACTTTGAATAGTCTTTCTGTTTTCTGGATTAGTTGTCCAGGCTCTGGGTAATTTCTGTGGGATCATAAGGAATGGAGCCAGCCAGCTTTTGTGAACAGAAACACTTAGTCACACAGGATTCTTCAGGGTATTGCATATGCGTGAACTGGGGGTGGGACCTACAGCCAGTAACATCTTCTTTTTCATTTTATCTGTCATGGGCCTTCTGTGTGGCCTTCCTTCGGTCATGCTGCTTGCCTGTGTCTTGAGACTTCTGGATTAATTTGCAATTATCAAACAGCCTCTTAAGATTAAATGTTTGCACCCAGTTGAGAGCGTTTTAGAGGGTTATCATTTCATCTATTTTCTCTTACTGCAAATATCTCTTTTTAATAATTTCTTTAAGAGAGTTGGTGCAGTCCTTTGGAGATAGAACAATGAAATGTTAAGGCCAAGCTTTACTCAATGTTTACTGCATGCTTTATTTGCAAGGAATGAGTCTAACACAGGATTGTAACATATACCTAGTCACCATATAATGAATGAAGTAGCCATTGGTGGTGCTCTGTATTAGCAGACATAATATATATTCAAAGTACAGAATAACACTTTTTTTTCCTCGGAGCTATAAATACCATGCTCCCCTTGTGAGGTTATTTAGGAACAATGGGTATATGGGAAAGTTATAACACTCCCTTGTTTTCACTTCCTTCTTCCTCTTGTAGATTAATCTGTGAGATTTCAACTGATTGAATTAAATCACATTTGCTGCTATTCTGTTTATCTACAAATGGCATTTTAATCCTTACAGACAAAGAGATATTTAGTAGGTTTTTTTGGCTATATAAGTGAGGGCTAGATGAGAAGACTCACCTTTCACTTAAATTAGTCCTCACTTGTAAAAAAAAAAAAAAAAGATGGCTAAAAACAAGTTTGTCTAACAATAAGGTTTAAAATAACTAGCTGCAAGTATTTATTTATTTATTTATTTATTTATTTATTTGATTTGCCAATTGTTTACAAGATAATAAGTATAAGAGTATACATAGTTGTGAATACATGAAATGGGTACATATATGAAAAATAAAAGAATAGGAGAAACAATAGGACAGGGACGGTAGGCACGTTGGTGCGCTTATGCACGCCCCCTACAGACCTCTTAGGAAAGGGGTGAGGTCAATAGTAGACAGTCTAAGGTTAAAGTTTTTGGGGTTTGGGGAAGTACACTAGAAGTGGCATCATTTCCTTGCTTCTCTTGAAGGATAATAAACTTACAGTATCCCAGATCAGGGATTTATTTTCAAGTATCTTTTAGACCCTGTTAGACAGATTCAAACTTCTTTTTAATTTACGTTCAGAGTAGATTTTGGAATTCATTCCAAATTCCACCGCCAAATTTAAATAACACCCTTTGCCTTCTTGCTGCTCTTCATGCTACACACCCTTGACTCATAAACCCCCCAGAAAAGGTATTTTGCATGGGAGATGCAGGCATCAATTCTTCCAATATGGGGGGGGGGACACCCATTCTAGAAGATATTAAAACTACCTCCAATTCATTAAGTGCTTCTCAATGTGTGTTTTTAATATGCATTTTAAAGCCAAATATTATAGGAGAAGTCAAGCAGTGGCAAACAGGTGGTCAGTTTGTTTGCTAATCCTGAGAAGCTAGTTCTCAAACACTAGATGTACTGCTTGACAAATTCTCTTTGCCCATCTTCCAGAAGAGGCAGAATTTTTAATTTAATAAGAATTAAAAGTCCCAGCAACTCTGTGATGGCTATTTCATAAAAGCGAGAGATAGCAAGACGCAATTCTTGAATGGCAAACTGCTCACTCTCAACTTAGCCAGTGTCCTTGAGGTACCTTCTCCTTTTTCTTCTTCTTGGCCAAGCATTTTATCCCATTCATGTACCAGTTCTTTTCCCTCTCATGTCACTTTATGATTATCATAAAACTTGGCAGCTAACATCTTCCAGTGTAGCTCATTCATTTCACTCTTGTGGAGGTATGTAAAAACGTAGCACTGTAACAACAATAGAAGGCCGTTGTTGGGAGGAGACGACAGGAAAAGTGGGGGGGGGGGGAGGCACAACTGTTGACTGCATTCCAACATGTTCTCACCACAATCCTGGCACTGACAGCAGAGAGGGTTCTTCAAGGCCCCTTCTTACAAACATCAGACTAAAAATAGGTTTACAGTCAGCTGCTCACAGAGGCACTTTGTAATCCGTCGCTTCCCAGGGCTGGCAGCACCATTTGAAAATGAGATGTGAGCCTAGCTTTGAGCAACTTCGCAGACTACAGCCAGCAAAGCAAAGTAAATCAAAGTGGAAAGCTGTAAACCCTCAATTCTCTTTATGAGGATTGCTGCCAAGGCATCAGCTCTCCTGCCAATGGCATGTGTAACTTTTATGGGATTGACTTCACTGTAAAACCGTTCAGACAAACAGTAGAAAGCAGGATTTTTAAACACATGTCTTAAGTTGGGCGCTGTCTATAGCAATGCAGTGTTGATTTCTAAGCTTTTCCTCCAGGCAAAGCATAAAACAGAGAAAGTCCTACCAATGCCCTCCCAAGGGGCTTATTCCAGTCAAAACTGAGAGCAGTAAATAAGCCATTATTATAACAAAGCCATTCGTGTTAATGCCTTATCAAAGGAGTTTGCTACCTCAGCTTAGAGGAAAAGAACAGGGGAGTAGGTAAAAAGAAACAATGCCTAATAATTACCAAACAAAATACAATTGTAGCATTGGGGAAGGAAGTCTTGTTGCTTGGATAAAGATGTGCTAATGAAGTCAAGCTCCAGGGTTTGTTAGAAGTGAGATAGGCATGTGTCTTAATATTCATTGTTAGTCAAAGTAGGCAATAATGAGTAAGATGAACCAAGTTGTTAAAGAAATAAGGCAGCTTTCTCTAATTCTACAATTTTCTGGATTTCTTGCCTTAAATATAATCAGATTCTTCACTTCCTTCTTCATGAAATCAGATTCTTTTTTTTTAATGTATTTTTATTAAGTTTATTTTGTTACATCATAAAACATAATGGTATCAACAACGTTCTTGGCATCTATACAGGTTTTTGGTTTAAATATAATAATACATTATATTACATTTGTCTACTACTGAATAATAGCTTTAACTATAATTACTATTCTTATATCTTTATACAATTTACAAATTTTTGTTTTACTTTCTAAAGGATTGTTTCAATTAAAATTTTGGTCTCACTTCTTAGTTCTGTTTGTTAGCCATTTATACCAATTACTCCAAATTGAAAAGAATTCAGTCGTCTTTTTCTTTCAATTTCATTGTTAGCATATTCATCTGAGCACTTTCTGTTACTTTGTGTATTATTAGTTCTTCATTAGGGGTATTTGGTTTGGAAATCAGATTCTTAATGCTTTCTTATAAATCCATTTTTCTCTAGGATCATACACAAAGAGATCACATTAAAACTTGTGGGGTAAATAAAATTGTGTGGAATGGATGAGATCAAGTGAAATTCAATCCACTTCTCCTTAATCTGCAGTCTTAAACTACTACTGTGTCAAATTTGAATCATGAGATCAATTTCCGGACTTCCAGCTGAGTCCTCTGGCAAAAAGATTTTCTCGAAACCTTCATTTTGAGGGGGAAAAAATGTGACAAGAGCAGCAAATGTAACCTCAAGATAAGAAAGTTTAACCAAAATCTAATGAGTTATTATTGTAATTTGTCGGGATGGTGGTGGTGGTAAAAAATTAATGTTCTGTTCTAAATAAGTGAAGGCTCTGCAGAGGTTAGAATTTAAGTGGGTAAATTTAAGTGGTAAACTCTGCTAGGCAGCAACAGTCTTGAAAGAAGGGGATAACAGCTCTGTTTGAAATTGTCCTCGACTGACCTCCTGAGGTCATTCAAAATATTTGCAAGGTTTTTTTCTTAAAGAAATGTTCAGACATCCTGAATCACAGTATAGGATAGGGTCTTTCATGTTGTCATATTGGAAAGAAAAGTATAACTACAGCATATTGTGTGGTAACAAGTTTTCTGGAACATCTAAGATGAATAAAGACCTGGAGACAAAAACATATGAAGAACAGTTGCAGGATTTGGGTATGGAAAGCCTAGAGAAAAGAAGGACTAAGGGTGATAACAATAATCCAGTATTTGAAGGGCTGCCACAAAGAAGAGGGGCTCAACATATTTTCCAAAGCATCAGAAGGCAAGACAAGAAACTAATCAAGGAGAGAAGGAACCTAGAACTAAGGAGAAATTTCCTGACCGTGAGAACAATTAACCAGTGGAACAATTTGCCTTCAGAAGTTGTGGGTGCTTCTGAAATGCTATAGACTGGAGTCTCTTGCTTGAGCAAGGGGTTGGATTAGAAGACTTCCAAGGTCCTTTTCAGCTCTATTTTGATTCTGATTCCAAGTGTTTTGCTTTTTCAATTGATTGTTAGTAGAGAATACATTAGGATTTTCCATTATCTTATAATTGTAGATATAATGGAATGTTCTCAAGCTGTTGGTAGCTTTTTTGGTGATATTCTGGTCATTCTTAATTTGAGTCTTCCCAGATGACCATTATTTTCTTCCCCTTTTCATTGCCATCATATATCATGCTAAACCATGATGTAATTTACTTAATTTTAGCTTAGTAATTCATGTAAATTCATTCCATAGGGATTGCAAATTACAAAATGGTTTACTTGCAAGTACAGACAACCTAAAACTTGCAGAAAACTGAAAATTTGTAGTGGCAAAATGGCTAATTCTCAGAGATGTGTTTTTTTGTTACAAATACAAAACTAAAGGTGAAAATGGATGTACTAAAATTCTTATATACAGAACACATTCATTATTGTCTCTAAACGTACCTGGAAATCACTGTAAAGGACAAAGAATGTTTAACCCTGCCATTTGATAACATCATTGTGTCTCAGGACATGTCTCCTACAGCTTTTGAGGCACAAGAAAGTGGTCATCCCCTTCTGGTTTGGTGTGATGTGTGAACTGAACCAATTGTGGTTTTCAAGAATTCTAGTTAAACCAAGATGACTTGATTTGATAGGGGAATTATTTTTAAAAGGGTTCAGTCGTCACTTTTCAGTGTTGTGTTATCTTTTTATATTGTTATCTATTTTGCTAGCTACCAATTAGCTGTTCCAATCTTTTTCTTTCTTTAGGAGCTAGATTATCAGAAGAGGCGTATGCGGGAATCGGGTGATAAATTTGTCCCAGTCATGAGTGACTTTATCACAGTAGCCAGTTTTAGTTTTTCTGAGCTGGAAGATCTTCTGAATGATGCAAGGGATAAGGTAAGACATACTTTTTATTTATTTTTTAAGTCACTATATCATGAAAATAGTCATTTCACCAGGCAGTGGGATGAATAAAGCTGGATTTTCAGTTCTATAAATAACCCCTTTCAATACATTTTCTTATTCTCCTTGTCTATTTCTAAGTCTCAGTCATTCTTAGTCACTGAGAGTGGTCTGGTCATGCTTTGAACTCAGCCTTGACTTGAATTGTGGGACTTCCAAATTGGAACATATCAAAGTGAAAACAGTCTCCATTTGCCTATGAAAAAGTGTCTCCTAAATATTTCTAAGCTGTAATTGCAAATCCCTCTGGATCCTTAATCCATTATTAACTTTCCAAAATCCATATACTAAATACCCTTTTGGTATGTATGTATGTATGTATGTATATGTATGGTATTCAGCTTTGTTCGGGTATTTTCCCACGTCGTTATAGTTGTGCTTTTAAAGTTGTAGCGACATTTTGGCAGAATCTCATCTGCCATCATCAGGCTTGTGTATTGCATTCATCTGTGAGTCAGGCTTTCACAGCCGTTTCTGTTTTAAATTTGGTGCTAGCCTACTGCTATGTTAGAATGTTTTTTTCTTCATCCTGATTGGTTGGGAGTCTTGGTCTGTGTTTATTGGTCTTGGAGTTTGCTGTATTCTGCTTGATTGGTGTTTCTAATATCTTCTGTCTGTTTTGTAGCGTTTTTTTGTCTTGATTGGCTGGCACCATTGTGTTTCCTGTATTGGAGGCTTTTAGTGTGGCTTGGCTTCAGGTAAACGGACCGCTATCATTTATTAGGAAGCTAGGTTTCATCTGGGTGCCTGGTTGGGGTGTGTTTGAGCTGGAGGTATCAGGGGGAGTCTGTTTGTGCCCAGGTGTTTGCTTGGCTTGTGGTTTGGAGATTTTTTTTGTTTGTGAGTGCAGGCTTCCAGATGATTGACAGTCTGGTGGAATCATCTCCTCTATTCATGCTTTCAGGTCTTTTTTCAATATCTATGGCTTCTCTGATAATTCTGTAGCTGGGGTTTTTTATAGTGGCTAGGGTTTTGGTGCCATTGAAGTCGATGCTATGACCTGTGGCTTTCATGTGTTGGACTAGTGAGGAAGTGTGTTCCAGCTTTTTTTACTGTATGTTTGTGTTCATCCAGGTGGGTACTTATTCTTCTATTGGTCTGTCCAATGTGTGTGGCAGGGTATGATGCACAGGGGACTTCGTATATGCCTTGGTTTTCCAGGTCAATTTTATCTTTGGGATTTCTTAGGATGGCTGCTATTTTTCTGTCTGTTTTGAAGGCAGTCTTGATGTGATGCCTGTGTAGTATCTTACTGATTTTGTCTGTAGTACCTCCTATGGAGGGCAGGACAGCTGTTCCATAGGTCTGTTCATCTTCTAGGTCTCCATTATATCTCAGTGTGTTTTTGTGGATCAGGCCTGTGATTTTACTTTTGTGAAAGCCGTTGGCTGTCAGTACTTTAGTCAGGGTGCATAGTTCATCTCCAAAACCCTAGCCACTATAAAAAACCCCAGCTACAGAATTATCAGAGAAGCCATAGAGATTGAAAAAAGACCTGAAATCATGAATAGAAGAGATGACTCCACCAGAGTGTGTATTATCTGGAAGCCTGCACTCACAAACAAAAAAAATCTCCACACCACAAGCCAAGCAAACACATGGGCTCAAACAGACCCCCCCCCCCCGATACCTCTAGATCAAACACACCCCAATCAGGCACCCAGATGAAACCTAGCTTCCTAATAAATGATAGCCATCCATTTACCCAAAGCCAAGTCACACTAAAAGCCTCCAATATAGGAAACACAATGTTGCCAGCCAATCAAGACAAAAAAAACGCTACAAAACAGACAGAAGATATTAGAAACACCAATCAAGTAGAACACAGCAAACTCCAAGACCAATAAACACAGATCAAGACTCCCAACCAATCAGGATGAAGAAAAAAAAAACATTCTAACACAGCAGTAGGCTAGCACCAAATTTAAAACAGAAACGGCTGTGAAAGCCTGACTCACAGACGAACACAATACACAAGCCTGATGATGGCAGATGAGATTCTACCGAAACGTTGCTACAACTTTAAAAGCACAACTATAATAACGTGGGAAAATACCCGAACAAAGCTGAATACCATACATATAGATACCCGCAAAAACTTAAGAAAACAAATATATATGTGTGTGTGTGTGTGTGTGTGTGTGTGTGTGTTTTCGTAGATTTTCACGGGTACAGCTATGTAGGTCTAGGTGTGTTCAGGTCTTTTCCCGTGTAAGATTAAGAGTATCTTGGTGACGTTTCGGCGAGGTCCCACTCGCCATTCAGGCTGGTGCTTTCTGCTGCCATGCCCACCAAGCCACACCCACAGAACCAGTAATAAAATTTTTTGAATCCCACCACTGATAGAAACACCTTCCTAGTCTGAAGGGTGTTAATCTCTCCAATATACATTTTTTTAAAATAAATAAATAAATAAAAAGTGATTAAAATATAAGACTTGGTCAAGCATAATGTCCATAAAGGCAGTTTTGATATAAATCCCAACTCACAACCATTTCCATTACAAGCTGACTTTGAAAACAACCGTTTCCATGGTCTACTTGTGAAGAGCAGCTGTCCAGAGTCACATGGATGATCTCAATGATCTCTCCTTGTTCTGGAGAAATTAAGCCAACTCAGATCCAGTATTCAGTGGTGATTCCTTTCACAAAGCTGTCTTGCTAGCTAACAAAAGACAGCAAGGCCTCCATTTGCTAAGGCACTTATAGGAAGTAAGATGCTTCTTTCCAATGAAACATTTTTATTTTAAAAAGTGTACGGTTCTGTTATTGCTTTACCTAACATGCAGACCAGTATGTAATTGTTAAAAATAAATTGTTCGTTTATTTCATGCCCAACTCTAATTCTAATGAAATCTATTTTTACTGATTTTGAGAGGAATCACAATATTGCAGATTTTCAGAACTCCTGCCATAGATTATTGATCTAAAATGTTGATTTCATCAAACACACATCTGTGATAAAGTTCAGTTAATACACTGAGTTTTTGAAAAGGGATCTGCTGTCCTATTTCAACAACTTAAATTAATTCTACCTTTATGATTGAATATGTTATGCTTTCACGTCCTTGTCTAAGCCTTTTTCATTCCTTGGGGAGAGTGGTAGCCAATGTAATCAAACTATCCAAGTGAACCTGTTGTAGTCTGCTTCTGATGAGTAACAACGGATTAAAAGCAAATAATATCTGGTATATAAATTATTGGTGTGATCTGTATTGTTCTTGTTCCAAGAAAAGCAGGAACATATGCCAACTTCCTAGCACATTACCCCAATCCAAACAGGACACTTCCTTCTGAACTGCTGTGTTTCATGTCCCCAAAGCCAGCTTTTAATGTAACCTAGAGAATAGAGTATTATTTGCTCCTGTCTAGAAGTTGGCATTATGCCCATAAGTCCCGAGGGTGAGGAAGAAACCAATAAAGAGAAATTACAAGAGCCTGAAATTGTTTGAAGAATATGTCATAATGTAAATAAGGTGTGACAATGGCAAATCTTTCCTTCTTTGCAAATGCAATAAACATTACATTAAACAAAGTAAGTATCCCATTTGGTTTTTCTCCTTATGTTAGCAGCTTGTCAAAAAAGATGGAAATCCTATTACAATTATTTGGTTATTAGATTTTTCTGATGGCCAGTTACAATTTAAATTGCTTGTTGTTTATAACTTGTGAATTTCTTGGCAAGCGATACATTCTAATTGTCTCTCAGGACAGCATGACCCTTTGAACTGCATCATCACATTTCAAAATAGGTAACACATAAGCAGAATTAGCTATCTGTTCTCTGTCCTGCTATTCTTGCTATGTGTCATTTGATATGTGGCTCTTACTCAGATTTGACTTATTCCGGATTGATTTAATCATTATGTCTATCATTTGCACTCTTTTTTTAGTCTGAGAAGCACCCAACATTACAAAAAAGTAAAAACCAGATAATTCTTACCTTCAAGCTTACAGTTCAGAGGTCTTTCTTCATAGGTGGCAGTATTAATATGACCAATATGAAATTGGTCTCAATTTCTATGGCCTCAGTTTCTATGGTCTTTGATCACCTTAGACCATCTTGTCCTTTCTGTTTTACTGAAAGTTCTTCCCAAGCCATTGTAATCTCACCACAGTTCAGTGGTGGCTGAAATTGTTAGCATTTCCCCTTCTTTTAAGGGAAGTAGTATGTGGTAGTATGACCAGTTCATTTTAATTGTTCATACATTCCTGTACCTACATGCAGTTCTTGGTAGGAATATCTCAGTTAGTTCATCAATCAAACATTCCCTTCAAAAAGACCTACCCACTCATATAGCCAAAACATTTTGTCAGCCACAAATACATAAGAGAAGAATGAAAGCCAATACAAGATATCATTATGCAGACCAAATTTTTGTCTGTTTAACAAAGATTGGGTTATGATAAGTCTAAGAAGACACATCTCAGGTGGAAAAGAGAACAAAGAAGAAATAGACAAATAAGACAATTTATGAAAAGAAAATGAATGAGGGCAAGAAATCTGTGAATGGCAGTAGCATGCACCGATGTCATTTCTTCACCAGCTACTGTTTCTTTGCTTCTATTCTCACAAGGTGGGTGGTTCAGTTAAATGATAGGTTCCCAGCTTGGTTTATATCCACTGAAACATGACTAAATCCTTCCACCAAGAGATGAAGTCCTCAGACTCTGAGTAATTTCAGGAAAACTAGTAGTCCACCCAATTGTGGTCTTGGTTAATGATGTCACTACACGGGTTCCCATTTCAACCTACCAATGCAGCAGAAATAGACAGCTGCTCTACCCAGTCCTATTATATTGTATCCTGAGACAGGACAGAATCCTTTGCTCTCCCTGTTGTTTTACAAAATTCTTGCATAGCTTTCTCTTCTATAGTAACATAGCCATTACAAGGTCAATGCAAACATGAAAGAGACTCATTTGAAAATGAGG